AGCTCCGATCCTTCCTTTGTGGTCCCACATGATTGAGGGAACTTCCTCCTGCCTGCCGTAGTGCCTCACACAACCTAAGGAAGCTCAGCCAACACTCAGCAATGTTCCACACTGTTGGGGGAACCTCTGCCTAATCTCCACAGCGATCTACCTGACTACGGCAATTCCACCCATTATTCGTGGTGCTCTACACAAAAGTGGTGCTCTAACCCACCAGCCTTCTGTGGCACTCCCATTGCAGTGGGCACCCCCGCACACCCTCAACAGCTCCCTAAGCTGCCATGGGCCAACACCATCACAGCTTCTTGTGAGATCACCCAGTACAGTACCATCCTCGTGGGTCCACAACAATGCAACTAGTGTCCCTTGAGAGGACCATCCAACTTGCTCTCCAAATAACAGAATACTGGTTGACTAGGTAAAGAGTGAAACCACAGGAGGATAAAGTGGTAGGTCAATTCCATAGTGAAATTAGCTGCAGGGTTCAAAGAAGCATTCCTACGAGTCTCCCAGAGAAAGCCAGTGCTCTTCAACTCCCTGGAAAATGGCACCTGCCTCTTCTAAAACAACGCAACATAAACAGCAATCAGTTCCAATGACCTCAACGAAAAACAGGGGAAGCAAAAGGAAATATTGGAAGATGTCCTGAACCTAACAACGTGCATAGAAGAAGCAGACATTGATCTGCTACAGAAGAAATTTTCAGAATTCTGCTTGGAGCCATACAGGATAGGAGGGAAAAACATAGAAAAAGGATGAAATGATAGAGGAGATAAAGACCAAACACCAAAAGGAAATACAAGAGCTTAAGGACGAGATAGCAAAAACCAGTAGCAGACTCATGGATTTTGCCAATCGACTGGAGAAGGCAGAGAACCGCACCAATGACTTAGAGGGGGCCAAGCAGACATAAAAACACATGCACAAAAACCCTAATAAGATCATCATAGAAGTTGAAGAAAACCTAAGATCTATGTCTAATGCTATGAAGAGGAACAAATCAGAAAAATTGGATTACCGGAGGAAGACACAACAAAGAAGTCATCTGCAACAATAGTGAGAGAATTCTTGGAGGAAAACTTCCCTAGCTTAATGAATGAAAACCAGGGAACCATTCAGGAGGCTGAAAGAACACCAGCTAGACTGAATCCCCAAAAGAAGTCACCAAGGCACATAATAGTTAAACTATCCAACTTATGGAAAAGGAGAAAAT